GAGGAGTCGCAGATCCGAGGAGCCGGCAGCCGACAGCACGCTCGCAGGTAGGAAAATCCGCTTCCATTCCCCATCCCGGGGGGGCTCGGCTGCTTCTTTTTCAGCCCAAGGATGGTTCGTCCGGCTTCGATTCGCACATTGATATTCCCCTTTCAATGAAATATTTCCCCTCTTCCATGAAATATTCTCCTTTCGGGTGAAATTTAGCCCCTCTATCCCAAGGAAGGAAAAGTTTCGGCATCGTCACCCTGCCCCAAAATCAACCTGGAGGGATGCAACAAGAGCCGGCGCGGGCCACCCGCCCGAAACCCACGGGGTGGTGGTGGCTTCCTCCGGGATGGGGAGGATTTTTTAGGGGATTTTTTGGGGGAGCAGCCGCACCACGGCTTTCCCATTTGATATTTCTATCCCTTTTTCCTCCAGCCAGGACTTCACCACAGGATGCTCCGGGAGATGCCCGGCTTGCGAGCGATCTCTTTTTTCCCTCCCCAGAGAGCACAAAAAGGAGGAATTTTCTTATTTTTTTCCTTGCTTTGATTATTTTAGCCCCCCCAGAAAAGCAAAAATGAATGGCTGAGACATTGGGATGCAGGGAAAAATGTTCTCCCCGAGCTTTTTTACCTCCAAAAAGCCTTTCTCAGCCTCTCCAGCCCACATCTGTGTTTATAGTCGCGCCGCGGCGTCTAATTTCGGCCAATTATGGCCAATTACCTGATTGAGGGGGACAGACAAAAGAAAACGCTTCTTTTTCTGGTGTGCACTGGGCATCTGGAGCCAAACCTCCCCCCTTTCCCGCATCCTTCCGATTCTCCCTAAAATCCCTAATCTCCCCCCAAAATCTGTCAGCGGGAAGGCGCGCGGCATCGCTGGGGTTTGGGGGAGCCAGGGCAGCGTTTTAGCCGGTGCCTGTGGGGGCCACTGTTGGACAATGTTGCGCTTTTTTGACTGGAAAAAAGGCTTTGACTCCTTCAATGCTGGCTCCATCCTGCCCCGTCGCATCCCTCTTGCCCATCCGGATCAGGCCTCGGCTCAATTAGCAGGGAAATAATTAATTGAGGCTGGGTGCAGGAAGCGGGGAGCTCCGAAATGTGCTCCTCGCGTGGCGGGATGGACCCTGGCCCCATCGCTGCCTTTAAACCCTCGCAAAGGCATTTGGGGAATGACGGTGAACCGCCGCTCCCCATGAGCATCTCCCATGGGAAACAGGGATGGAAAAGGCAGGGAGCATCGCCCCGGCGCTGCCCGTGAGCTCCCGACCCCAAAATTGCCTCAAATGAAGCGAATAAAACCCATTTCAGCGAGCACCTGCTGCCCTTTTCCACCTTTTCTCCTCAAATTATCCCTCCTGCATCCTTCCCACTGCCCACCCCCCCTTCCAAATTAGCCCTTTTCTATCGCAGCATCTCCCCCCTCATCCCACCCGGAGCAATAAATAAAAGCCGCTTGTCCTGACGGATAAGCAGACCCCGCCGTTATATGAACCACAAGCTGGATTTCTAATGAAAAACCCTCTTTTTTCCCCCCAAATATTAATGAGGGTCATTCAACTGGATTGAAAACTCCAGAGGATGCTCCCTTGGGGCAGCTCGTAGCAACAGGGGGGGGTCCCAAAACTGGTTTTGGGGATGGTGTGGCTGTATCCTGACCCCTCACAGGATGGAGAGGTTTAGTTTTTGGGGAGGAAGAGGAAGGTTTGTGCCCAGGAGCAGCCCTGGTGTCCGAGGAGCCGTGGGGGTGGCTGTGGTGTGACACCAGGGCTGTCACATCCTTTGCCGGGGATGGTGGCGTCCCTGGGAGCGAGGGCAGTGGGGCTGGATGGTGGGAAATAGGCTCTTGGTTTGGTTTTCCCAGAGGAAAAAGTGGGGGAATATATTAAAAAAAACGAAAAAAGAAGGAAAAAATAGGGGAAAAAATGGAAAATATGGGGGAAAAAATAGGGGGAAAATGGGAAAAATGGGAAAAAAGCATCCCTTCTTTTTTTTCTCACATATCCATGGCTGCGAGACTCAGAAAGCAGCTTCACCCCCAACCCTGCCACCCCCTTGCCCCAAAAACCCAAAGATAAGCAGGAAAAAACCCCACCATGCTCGGCTCCTTCCCTTTCAATGGGCTGGTTTGATTTTTCGGGGGTCACTGATGCTCCAGGGGTGGGATAATTTCCCTCTCTGCCCCCCCTGCCCCAGCCGGTGATGCCGGCAGGGTGCCGCATCCCGCCTGATAGCATCTTTCAATTAAACGGGCAAGAAAAGCCGTGATCCCGGAGCCTCCTCCAGCTGTGACCCTGCTCCTCCCGGGACATCGGACCCGATGGCTTTTGGGGACACAGTGACATGGTGGGGGGGTGGGTTTCAGCCTCCTCCCTGGCTCCGCCGTACCCCGTTTTGGGGCTGAGTGATTTTTTGGGGGGGTTTGCCCTCCCCTGGGAGGTTTCTGCCACAGCTCTGACTCACGCCGCCAGCCAGTTTTAATGAGTCTCGACGAAGATTAAGCCTTAATTCCTGCTCCTTATCAGCTCCCGGCTGGTGGGAACAAAAGGTGACCCTGACGCTGGTTGGAGACTCCAGTGGATGCTCTGCCTCCGTTGCAAGAAATGAGGGTGTCCCCCCATCTTGGGAAATAATTGGGGACCCCTTGCCCAGTGCTCAAACTCCCCCAAAAGCAGCAAATCCACCATGACTGAGGTCTTTCTCACCTCCAAGCACCCCAGTACGGGGGTTTCTGGCACGGAGTGACCTCGGTGCCACTAAGGGTTGCACCAACCTTGATGTCCCCATCCTGCTCCTCTTCATCATCTCCATCTTGTCCCCATAAACTTGCACCCACTCCTCAGGACCATGGGGATATTAGATCCCTTTTCCTGATGGGATGAGGGCGATAGGGGAGGCTTCAGAAGGACCAATCCTCTCCTGTTTGCTGATGGCCATGGGGATGCACTGGGATAAATCTCCAGGAAGCACATGGCCTTGGTCATGTCACTTAACCATCGCGTGCCACCAAAGCTGAACAGGACACGGGGCTTTCTTTGGGAATTGGCTTTGATCCCAACAATCCCTGCCAGCAGCGATGAGTGAACACTCCTGAGATAGGGACAGGGGTGGCAACACCCCAAAAACAGCCTGGGAGGGGAAACCGGAGCAGGACATCCTCGCCCAGCTTCGGTGATGCTCGGATAAGGAGCGTCCTGCTCAGGGGACAGCTGGGGACGTGCTGCCCCGCCACGTCCACCTGCTAAAATAAGCCCCGGCTGGGACTCATGCCATGGAAAAAATTAAGCTGGGACACGGCGGATCTGTTCCAGGGACGGGCTCCTTTCCCGAAAGGATAATTTTGGCATGGGGACTGGGAACACACGCATTTTAGGAGGAGGCGAGGGAAGGCGAGCTGAGACCGGGCACATTTCGGTGCCGGTTTTGAGGGGTTTCTGTGTCTCCGCAGCCGCTGCCGGTGCCGCCATGAGGGCCGTGCTCTGGGACCTGCTGTTGCTCTGCCTCTTTGCCCGGGCGCGGGGCGACTGCCGGGGCGACTGCCTGCGCTGCGACCGCCAGCTCTACCGCGACAGCTTCGATGTCCTCGTGAGTCCCTCCGCCTGACGCTTTTTGGGTGCTTCCCCCGTGGGTGCTGTGGGCACGGTCTTCCCTGTGCTGGGGTCA